TTAGTTTTGCAATAGTTGGCCTCAAAAAGAGGATTTAGTTTGAATACTGGAATGAATTTCAGAAAATATTAGCTCAGGGTCTGTTACTCAAGTTGCTTCTCTAACTGCCCTGATATACCAAGTCCTTAGGTAAATCACCATGTTTACACTAACAAACAGTACCTTCTCAATTAACTACCACTGAATAAAATCTTATTAGCCTTAGCACGTTAGAATACAGTATATTACTGTATCTTAAAGAGCAATGGAAGAGAGTGACAAACACAATACCCAAGCTTTCTGTCCTTTGAGAGGTCCACATTTTCTTTACAAGAATCCAAAGTCACATGTGTATACTGTGTAGCTACCATATTTTCTGAAATAAAAAAAAATTATAGACAGACTTATTACATACACATGTAGACACAAATACCATTTGATATGGTTACAAAGACTGGAACTCCTTTTCATACTGACTTTCACTACAATTTCAAAATACTGTTGTACCGTAGTACAAAGTGTTTTTTTTTTCGTAGTACAAAGTGTTAAGACCAGAATTGAAAAAAAAAAAAAAAGTTACTTAGGGTTCAAAGAATAAATAACAAGTCCACTATGCAGGATGACCAGACCACTGAAAGTTACTGGCATGGGGCAAAGTATACCTTGTTTCAGGAGAATCTGCTATGAGGACACAGAGGGAGAACAAAAGGCTGCAACCCTTCCAGAGGGCTTTATATTAAAGGTTTGTGTGTCTTTTAGTTTAACAACTAAATGCTGGCAGAACTTGAATCACTGTTCCTTCTAACTTAAAAACAAAACAATTCATCTTTATTGACAGTAGATGGGACAGAATTATAGACTAAACTTTACCAAGTTGTTTAGTACTATGTAATACTACTACAGGCAAGTGTTATACTGGATTAATTTTTATCTGATGGTTGCTTATAAACAAATACTACTACTTATTAGTACTAGAACATTAGCTTCTATTTAAGAACCACAACGGCAAAGACCCCAAGAACAGTAACTATTGGCACTTTGAAGAACTCTTCATGGATTAGTTTTTATCAATTTAAAGAACTTAAAAAAAATGAGTAGCAAACTTGTGATGGCATTTAAATAGTCCATGTGTGAACTAACTTCTGTAAGCTTTAGAAAAAGAATAAAACATACTGGGTTAGTACTCCAAAAAATATCCTTATTCCTCAGTCAATTTTTAGGTTTTTAGGTTCATAATCCCATTAGAATATCTTTCATTTAGTGAAGTAAAATTCTCCAGCAGTTACTTAAATACTGTTTTAAAAATTTTGTTTGTGTGTGTGCTCGAGTGAGTGCATGTCATAGCACATGCATGGAGGTCAGAAGACAACTTGTAGGAGTCATTCTTCTTACCATGTGGGTCCTAGAGATCAAGCTCAGGTTGTCAGGCTTGACAGAAAACACTTTTACCCGCTGAGCCATCTCAATATGTTGTAGTACGGAGCGGCGGGCTGTGTCCCGCCACCCGGCTAGCTTTACCCGAAATAATTACACGGAAACTGTATTCTTTTAAACACTGCCTGACCCATTAGTTTCAGTTTCTTATTGGCTAGCTTTTACATATTGATCTAACCCATTTCTATTAATCTGTGTAGCCCACGAGCTGGCTTACCAGGAATGATCTTAACCTGCATCTGTCTGGAGTGGGACAATCATGGCGACTCCCTGACTCAGCTTCTTTCTCCCAGCATTCCGTTCTGTTTACTCCACCTACCTAAGGGTTGGCCTATCAAATGGGTCTAGGCAGTTTCTTTATTAATAAGAAATCACTCCCACATCATTTCCCCTTTTTCTGTTTAAACAAAAAAGGCTTTAACTTTAACATAGTAAAATTACATATAGCAAAACAGTTGTCAAGCAAGAATTACAGTTACAATATTTATATCTATTTTATCTTTTATCATAACTAAGGAAAACTATAACTATCTATTCATTCTTCAACTCCATCAAAGACTCCAGAAGGATATAATACTACCTAAGTAAACAAGAAATAAGAAAACTCTAGAAATGACAGAGACATCTTGCTGCCTGGACAGTCACCCAAAGTTTTTTTGTATGGTTGGGGCATCCATCTTTAGCCTTCAGGCCCATAGTATCCAGCAGACATTTCCATGAAGCAGGAAATTTCAAAGACAGTTCAGTCACTATCTGCTGTGTCCTGCAGAATGTCTCGCAGACTCTTTCATGAGTCATGAACCCCAAAAGACCGTCTCACCTTTAGGCAAGTTCAGCAGTCCTCTCTCATCAATACCTTCAGTATTGCTTTCATAAACAATTATTCTTTCTAAAAAGTACTGACAGTGATATAATTTAGCTAGTAAGCTGACAGTTATCCAAATGGCATAATGCTTCCGGATGTCAGTTTAAACCTTTTAGATTGAAAATTACCTAATACCTGTGTTCATTCTAGTGACACTTGAGTTAAATTCAAATGTACAGTGTTGACATATTTTTAAAATTAGTTTATGCATATGGGTGTTTTACTTGTATATTATGTCTATGCATCTGAGCATGCAGTACCTGCAGAGGCCAGAAGAGGCCATCCGATCCCCTAGAATTGGAGTTACAGACTGCTGGGAGCTTCCTTGTGGAACCTGGGAACCAAACCCTGGAGGACTGAACAGCCAGTGTTCATAACTGCTGAGCTATCTCTACATGTATATCTTTTATATAGAGGTTACATTAGGCATGAGGTTGAAACTAGGACTAATAGGAGTTTTATAATTTCTCTTTTGAAATCAGACAAACATGTGATTTTCTATGCATATTATACTTGTCCATGTCTAAATACACAAGAAATTGGTCATCAAAAGAACAAATAATCCAATAAAAAAATGGGGTACAGACATAAACAGAGAACTCTCAACGGAGGAATCTATAATGGCTGAAAGACAATTAGGGAAATGGTCAACATCCTTAGCCATCAGAGAAATGCAAATCAAAACAACTCTGAGATTTCATCTTACACCTGTAAGAATGGCCAAGATCAAAACCACTGATGACAGCTTATGCTGGAGAGGATGTGGGATAAAGAGAACACTCCTCCATTGTTGGTGAAGTGCAAACTGGTACAGCCCCCTTAGAAATCAGTATGGTAATTTCTCAGAAAATTAGGAAACAACCTACTTCAAGACCCAGCAATACCACTTTTGCATATATACCCAAAGGATGCTCAATCATACCACAAGGATATGTGTTCAACTATGTTCATAGCAGCAATATATGTCATTGCCAGAACCTGAAAACAACCTAAAGGCCTCCTGACTGAAGAATGGATAAATAAGATGTGGTACATTTACACAAAAGAGCACTGCAGAGTGGGAAAAAATGACATCTTGAAATTTGCAGGCAAATGGATGGATCTAGAAAATATATTGAGTGAGGTAACCCAGACCAGAAAGACAAATATAGATAGTAAGTACTCACTCATAAGTGGCTTTTAGACATAAAGCAAAGAAAAACTAGCCTACAATTCACAATCCCAGAGAACCTAGACAACAAAGAGGACCCCAAGAGACATACATGGATCTAAACTACATGGGAAGTAGAAAAAGACAAGATCTCCTGAGTAAATTGGGAGTGTGGGGATCATGGGAGAAGGTAGAAGGGGAGGGGGGAGAAAGAAAGGGGAGTTGAAAAATATATAGCTCAATAAAAATAATTATTAATTCTAATATTTAAATAACTTAATCTTTTTGTAATAGTCCTTTCTTTGCTATCAAAATATAACACACTCCTGTTGGATATATGCCTCTAAGTGACTGCACAGGCTTTTTCCACTTTATACCTATTTATTAAATTTTAAAAAATATAGACTATGAAGACAAAACGTAAAAAAAGAAAGAAAAGAAAAAAACCAAAACCATGCACACATACATAAGTGGATTTTAAGCCTTTTTACAATTTTTAAACTTCCTCTTTAGAATCTTCAAGAAACTATAATACTAAACATTACATTTTTGCAGAAGATACTAAAATAATTAAGCACATACCTTTATCTTCTGGACTCTGCACTGAATTTGCTAGAAATTTGTGGAATGGTGTAGATAAAAGCAGGGCAGCAGATGTAAAATCTCCTGTAGTTTTAGAACCGGGAGTCAGGGTTTTGTTGAAGCGAGTGCTGCATTCTGCTGAATCGCCCACAAGCTCATCAGTGTGAGGCACTTCCTACAACAGAAGATGAACTGAAAAAAGCAATTTGACTGCTTTGTTGATGAAATTTAACACATCAACACTTTAAGTCAGGCAGTTAATATAGTCCTGGAGTAAAAACAACTCTCGAGGGTGAGGAGGTAAAGACGATCACTTGAGCTTAGGAGTTCAAAATCATCCTGAACAACACAGCAAGCTCCTGTCTCAAAAAACAAAACCCCAAACATTTTAAAATTAAAAAAAAAAAAGGACTTAAAGAAACAGATATATAAACCTCTTATTTTTAGCATACTTCAAAAGAGCCACATAAAACAATTAAACTTTTTTTTTATTTTTTTGAGACAAGGTTTCTCTGTAGTTTTGGAGCCTGTCCTGGAACTAGTTCTTGTAGACCAGGCTGGCCTTGAACTTACACAGTGCTGGGATTAAAGGCGTGTGCCACCACCACCCGGCAACAATTAAACATTTTTTTTTTTTTTTTGGTTTTTCGAGACAGGGTTTCTCTGTAGCTTTGGTGCCGATCCCGGAACTAGCTCTTGTAGACCAGGCTGGCCTCGAACTCACAGAGATCCGCCTGCCTCTGCCTCCCAAGTGCTGGGATTAAAGGCGTGCGCCACCACTGCCCGGCACAATTAAACATTTTTATCTTGGACATTATTCTTTAAATTTGAAGAGTTACAAAGATAGTAAAGAGTTGTTCTCCTTCATTATTTTCCCTCTAATGGTAATCTTGTCTAAAATGTGATTTATTGTAAAAAACAAAACAACAAAAAAACCAAAGTGATACTAGTAACAGGAGCCGTTATTTGATATCTCTTTTTCCTCCCCAGTCTCCAACATAGGTCAGTACATCGCAAGTGGTTGCTCGTGTCTACTTAGCTGCTTCTGATGACAGCCATCTGTGGATCTTTCCCACACTTTCTTGCACTGATGCTTTGGAATAGAGGTAATGACCTGTGACTGTGTCTCTAGTTTAGGCTTTTATACTAGGGATATATATTTTAGAGAGGACTATCAGGGACGATCGCATTAAACTTTGGGAATATGTGCCATAAACATAACATATTTTGTGACGTTAACCCAATCACTTAGTCAGGTATCCCTGAGACTTCCTTACTGAATTATTTTTCCTCTCCCCATTTTTTTTAAATGTAAATCCCCATGACCTGCCCATACTGAAAGGGAAGTAAACCCTACCTTTCAGAGGGCATAATCAAAGAATGAAGAAATATTACATTTACTTGTTTGTGTGTGTACCTGGTACACACATGTACCAGCTTTCATGGGAGGGAATGTCAGAGGACAATTATGGGAGTCAATTTTTCTTCTACTATGTGTGTCCCAGGGATCAAAGTTGGGTCGTTCAAACTGGTGGCAAAAGCCTTTAGCTGCTGAGCCATCTCGTAGGCCCTCTTAGAGAAATAGTAAACCAATATAGTAATTAATAATTTTGAAAAGATGCTTGGGAGCTATGCAGACTGTTTCTTCTCAGTGACATTAGTAGTCATCCATGGGCCTTGCCTATAGCAGTTCCAATCTTAGTGTTCTAATGGTGACCTTCTACATTCCTTGGAATGCTTCTGTAAGGGAGATTTGTTCTTCCTATCCTGTTGTATGAATATGGATATTCACTATTTCTTAGGTTATAATTTAATATCACCTTACTATTTTCTCTTTCAAATTGTCCCAGGTTGGGGCTGGAGAGATGGCTCAGTGGTTAAGAGCATTGCCTGCTCTTCCAGAGGTCCTGAGTTCAATTCCCAGCAACCACATGGTGGCTCACAACCATCTGTAAAGACGTTTGGCGCCCTCATCTGGCCTTCAGGCATACAGACAGAATATTGCATACATAATAAATAAATAAATATTTAAAAAAAATTGTCCCAGGTTTGATCACTGACTTGTTTAGTAGGTTGCTGTGCTGCCCATCCCACTTCACAAAAACACAAAACCAAAACAATTATATCCTTAATTTCTGGCATAAGCTACCCCAGGCTCATCTTCTATTTACCCTGACATGGCCTATAGAATCAGACATTTCTTTAAGAACATAATTATAGGCTAAGTTTTAGAATCTGTGGGGAAAGAGAACTAAAGTTTCATCAGAACTGAACTTCATAAATCCTTTCAGTTCTTAAAATGCCACATATACTTTTTAAGCCACCATGTGATTGCCGGGAATTGAACTCAGGACCTTTGGAAGAGCAGGCAATGCTCTTAACCACTGAGCCATCTCTCCAGCCCCTCCACATATACTTTTTATACATCACATTTTTTTTTTTTCTTTTTGGTTTTTGAGATAGGGTTTCTCTGTGTAACTTTGGCTGTTCTAGAACTCACTTTGTAGACCAGGCTGGCCTTGAACTCAGAGATTCACCTGCCTCTGCTGTGCTGGGATTAAAGGTGTGTGCCACCATGCCTGGCCACATTTTTTAAAAACAAATTCCACCATTCCTTCCAGTAATGAAAGAAAAACTGGACAGTTATAAATGCACCAGTTTCTGCTCAGCACCAGCATATATAGAAATGTACCTTTATTTGTTTGCTAAAGCATGTAGCAGAGTAATCCAACAAAATGTAGTTCTGAAAGAGTGGCACTCAATCTAAAATCCAGTCCATTATTTTGGAAAATTGTAAGGCTAAGCAGTTCATCAAAAAATTGAGAGCCTCACAACAGTTAATTAAGAAGAACCTATCATGGACTTAAAACAGGGAGCCAGGGTTCAGCAGCACATCTCAGAATGGGAAATTAACAATGAGGAATCCTTTCTGGGGCATCACCGTCACAGGGGAATGTAGGGTATGGACAGGGAGCATACATGGGGAATTCTCGGGCCCATTGTGAAAGTCTAGATGCAATGGCTGCTGACATACAAGAACACTGCAGGTCAATGAACTGCTGAAGCTTGGCTGCTGTGGTGTACTGATCTATTTTCTTCAGTTTTCTGGGTTTCTCACTAATATCCCACTGTAGATCTCAATTCTTATGTCTAAGAAAAACATATACTCCTGGGTGGCACCTCCGACCTAAAGGAATGGCCTTGAGAGGTAAGGATCATATAATTATTTTTATTTTCTCTACTTAATATAGAATTCAATTCTGTTAATGAACATATTTTTCATGCAACATTGAATTTTCCAGAAGTTGCACATACCTTATGCCATATGATGAGCATAATCATTTGGTAAAATTAAGGACAGATTCTAAGACCTATTTCACTGATAAAGCAGAGATTTACTTACATTTGATGTTGAAGGAAATTTGCTGACAGAGCGTTCTCCAAAGGTCCTGGCTCCTGTGGGCTTATTTTTAGCCTGTGGTAAGCTAAAGAAAGATTTGTATAATTATAAATCATAAAACATACAAATGAAATAAATAAGCTTAAAGCGTTAGAAAAATTTGTCACTTATCCTATGTAAGGAGTTAATGGTCTTACAAAGATTCCTTACTTTTACAGCAACTATAGCAAAACTGGGTCCAAACTGAATTAACTGTCAGCAGAAGGCATTTTTATTACACTGGGTTCCAAATTTTAGAAGCACATTAAACAAGGACTTTGACCAGTAGGATGTCCTGGGTAACAGGTAACATTCTAAATCTTTTTTATAGTGTCTATACTAGATATGGATATCACTCTGTAAGCTGATCACGCTGTCTCCCTTCTACCTTAGTATGAAGGTCCTCCATGCCAAGATGCCTATAACTCACATAGCTTCATTTGTTCCTGAAAATACCTGATGTCTCACTAATGAGGTGTTCTACATTTTCTCTGTAGTTATGACTCAACATAAGCCGCTTTCTGTTCTACTTTATTGGCCCTGTACTTTATGGATCCATCTGTTCTCTGACAACTTCTAACTAGACTGCCTTTCTTTTTCAGCTGTGCTTCTGTTACAGGAGGTCTGTTGTCTTGGAACTCATGCACGGGAACCCAAGTCCAGACCACCCTATCTCCTCACTGCCTTACAACGTTCAAGTCCTGAAGGCCCTCTACAGCATATGATGATGACATGTACACCCCGCCCTCTGACTTTATTTTAAATAGGCCTTTCTTTACCCATAATTTTCTTTGTTTCCATCTTCAAAAATAGGAAAAGTAGATGGCAAAGACATCTTATTAACTCCCCAAGCTCCAGAGGATACTGCATTTTCTACAAGAAAACAAAAACAACATCTCATTATTATCTTACAGCTACCTGTAAGAAAAAGTGCTGAAATCTTCAAAATACTAGGTCTTAGGTAATGACATAAGCTGCTGTACAGGGAGGTGAAGTGACTGATTCACAGCCCAGTGGTGATCCTGACACATACAGAGCAGTGTCCACCCTCCTATAATGTTGCTACAGAGCTCCTTCAATAAAAGCACACAAAAGTTGTGGGAACTTTTGTTGTTGTTCATGTCCTTTAAGAAAAAGGATTAATATTTGTTAATTTCCAGTCTTCCCAATTCTAACTAGACTCTATTTAGCCTTGTCATAATCTTTGGCTTCCAGCACTGCTGGGTTCCAAGCTCTACCTAGACATCTCTCAAGTTGAGAACTTACTTTCCTGACTGTTCCTACCCATGATGCTTTTGTCTTTTAGCACTCACTATTAAATAACAATAAAAAAAATCCAACTTAGCAAAAAACCCAAACAAATATCACATACACTGTAACCTTTTCAAACTGTCACATGCAAAATGTATTCATTCCTTGCTCTTACATGACACACTATTCAAAGGCAGGGCCACATCTAAATCTTGATAATATCTATAGCAACTTCCTGTGATACTGTGTACTTAATAGTTTTCTAAATAAATCATTACTTTGAAACTGGGCTTCAAATGCATCTTCATTTTGATCTAGAGAAGGCCACTCTCCTTTATCATCAGAAATATCAGGAAGTGTTGGAGCCTGAAATATATTCATGATGAAACCTTATAAAACAGAAAAAAAAATATGTCAACAGGCAAAGATTACAAATCAGTTTTTATTAATTTGCATACAAACAAAATATTTTACCTAATGCTTCCTTGGTGTGCACAGTTGGTGATGGCTGCACTTTGGATGGTGTTGCTTGAACCATTCCCAATGATGTGTTTGGAGTTGTGTGAAAAGAATTAATGCTGGCAACCTTATTTGTTTCACACACTAGCAAAGGAGTGGGACAAAAGGTACTTACTATCAGTATGTCACTCAGAACACATTAGAAGGCACACGATTACAGTAATTACAATTTAAAAGTTTACCAATAATAATTATCACTATTTCCATTATCTTTGATTGGGCTTTCAAATATTCATGTTTATCTTTGTAATAATACCATGAAGTAAGGTCAAGAACTGTCCTTTTATAGAAAAATAAAGGTTACATCAACGTAGGAGTTTTGTCATGCAAAGAATCCTTAGCTCACAATATAGGAGGGAATGATCACATTGTAAATCATTCCCTCCTACTATGCTGTGAATCTTAAGCAAGTTTTTCATTTCATTCAGCTGATGTTTGCTCAGACTTTCTTTCTTTTCCCCTGTTCATCTGGAAGCGCTGACATCTTTAGTGCTTACACAGGAATATTGCTGCCTGAAAGCTTTACACTTGTTCATTCTATCTGAACCAGGTTCACCGAGTTTGCTGCGTAAGTAGTTCCCCTTTCCAGCCCCCCCCCAACTAAATCTTACTCCAGCCATCCTTCCTAACCACCTTCTTTGAAACCTAACTCTCCACCCTAATATTAACACCTCTTTTCCTATGGAAATCCTCCCCTTTTCCATTGTGACTGCCTCACTAACTACTTAGAACTATGCTTTGCATCTAGCCAGCGTGAACCAAGTCTTGGTGCATTAAGTCTCTACTTCAAATAGCCCCGTTCCTACTGTTAGTGGAAAGGATGCCAGTCACAGAAAGAGGGGAAGTGAATTACCAAACTGTGACTTTATTACTTAATGAACAAAATTATCTTCTGTGAAAATGCCTCCACTGTGGTTCCAAACAGAATATAATACTAATTAAACTAATCCCCTTTCCCATCTAACGCATTAGCTATGCCTTTCAGATTAATACACTGAGAAGCTTAATAGAAAAATGCCAAAGGATTCTGAAAAAGGAAGATGTTACTAAGAAATGAATTTCTATTTTTTTTAATGAATTTCTATTTTTGACCAAAAACTGTCTGAGGCTTTATAACATCATTCTTACCCTCTAAAGAGTAAGGCCATCCTACACCACAGTCACAATACAGACACTGAGCAAACCAAGACTACTCAAACAAGTTGGATAAAATTATAATGCAACACTACCTTCTTTTGTTTCTGGTCCACTCTGTGGCATGAATTCATGAATACTTTGACTCACACACCTGAAAGAGAAATCTCTTGAAACACACTGAAGAATAAAAGCACTTTACATATTAGAATTTTTAAGTAACTCTCAAGAAACAATAAAATATTGCCAACAATGCTAAGTCTGTTAGGGTGAGGATAAAATTGCTTAAGACCATGGTATAAGTAAATAAAATATTTATTGCCTTTGAGAATATTAATTCTTTCAAATAAGGATAATCATTGGACATTTTAGTGAGACCCATTGAATCTGCCTTTCAGCACAATAACAATCATCCCTCCATGTGACAGGACAGAATGATGGTTTCGCAAATTCAAACGCACTTCATTTATGGTTTATATTAAAGGCCTAAGATCTAGTTGCAGGCACTGTGTGTTAGTGGAACTAGTACCTTTCTTGTACTAGTTACCTGAAACTACTAGTGATATCCAGATTTTAAATTAACAGTGAGGATGAAGGGAAAAGGTATCAAACCACTTATATAACAGCTTGCTTTTAAATCATACTGGGGCAATCAACCTCGTCTGCCTAATCCTGCTAGAATTCTCTTAAGGAACCTTATTAAAATGGTAAGCAAAGTACAAATCACTTTTAGTTTTACAAATTCCTATCAAATTGCAAGATAAGCAATGAACAACCAAAGACAAAAATGTAAAACAAATAAGAAATTATTATTTCTGAAACTTAGAAAAATCCTTCAGTACTGGAAAATATTGGGAGATAGATTTTGGCACAGAATTATCAACACACATCCCATATAACTTCTGAAGGAATACAAAGAAAACATGAGAACATATGTCAAATAACTTTCAGGCCAGTAAAAGTGCCTATAGGTATGTAGTAAAAGACAGTAAGTACTTTCAGTTTGCAGTTTACAGTTATATATTCTGAATGTACAGTGAGAAACTGCTTGACGTTTATAATTCAAGAAAAAAGTACAAAGTAAACAAACAGTATAAAAGAAGTGTGGAATTAAGTGTGAAAGATTCAAGGCCAATATTTTGAGAATCATTTCAGCAAACAAAAATTTAAAAACAAGAACCATTCATCTTTTATACAATATATTACTGTAGATCATGAAAATAAATTATACATGCAATGCATATCACTATCCCCTCCAGGACAACATTTAGCTTACCTGGAATCTGTCACTGACTGGCCACTTCCAGGAACAGGAAGAGCTGGCTGGCTGGCAGCTGGGATCATCAAAGCACTGTTAACAGTATTTACCACATGAGGAACCGAAGGTGCATTCTGTGGTTTCTGTCCTGAGTTCTCTGAGGTCTGCTGATTGATGGATGGAAGACTTGGAACCCTCAGTTCCTGCTGGGAGCATGTATTTGGTCCCATGCATACTGGATTAACCTTTCATGTTGAACAAAAATATTATTAATCAGTCACTACAGCTTTTCAAAGCACAGCAACAAAATAGACTAGCCTCTGTGATGGCTTCTTGTAGCTTCTTAAACAAGGACACACTAAAAGCTTATAGTTAAATTTTTTAATATTTATTTATTTATTTATTTATTTGTGTGTGTGTGTAGGTGCATACATGTGTAAGTCAAAGAACAACTTTTAGGAGCTGGTTCCCTCTTATTTGTTGGGCTAAGGTCTCAATTCTCTGTACCACATATTCCGATCTAGCTGGCTCACAAGCAACCAGAAAATTTCTGTATGAGAGTTGGGATTACAGATGTGTGCCACTATATCTGACTTTTATATGTGTTGTTGGGATCAAACTCAGGCCATCTGGCTTATACAGCAAATACCTCTATTGGCTAAAATACCACTCAAGCCCAGCATCTTATAATTTTAACCACTGAAAAACAAATTGGCATCTATAATATTAGTATTTAAGTATCTCAGGCTGGGCAGTGGTGGCACACGCCTTTAATTCCAGCAATTGGGAGGCAGAGGCAGGGGGATCTCAGTGAGTTCAAGGCCAGCCTGGTCTACAAAGTAAGTTCCAGGAGAGCCAGGACTATTGCATAGAGAAGCCCTGTCTTGAATATTATTATTATTCACTGCTCAATCCATTTTCTTTTTCTTTTTTTTTTCTTTTGGTTTTTCGAGACAGGGTTTTTTTATATAGGGCTATCCTAGAACTCATTCTGTAGCTCAGACTGGCCTTGAACTCACAGAGATCTATCTGCCTCTGTCTCCTGAGTGCTAGGATTAAAAGTGTGCACCACCACAGTCTGGCTAATTCCAAATTTTATATATCTTTCTATATCAAATTATTTTAAAATTTGGTATGATTCCTAGCTAAACTAGAATAACTACAGAAACAGGCACAGAGGGCAACAGCTAGTAGCATTAGGGATAAGCTACAGTAGTGAAGAACGTGAACGTACGTCAGGCCTGTTCTGGGAAGCAGGCAGGTCCTTGTGAGACAACTCCACCACCTGATGCAATTTCTTGTGAAGTTCATCCATTTTCTGTTTTAACAGTTGCTCTTCAAAGGCACCGGCTTCTTTCCTTTTCATATAATGTCTGTCTTCACTAACTTTAAAAAACATTAAAAAAAGCACGGTTTGCTCTCAAAATTTCATCAGAGTATTATATGCAAAATGAGCAAATGTTCACAATTTAGGATACTTTTTAAATCAAAACTTTCCATATTTTTTTGATTTTAGAACTGAAACTTACATCACCTTTTAATCGAAATCTTTACCTGTCCTCACCACTGTTACTATTAAATATAGGTTATCATGTTATAAACAACAAAAACCTGTTATGTGATCAATAATATTTAGCAATGGTATTCTAATACTGAACACTTCTTATAAAATAATGATACTGTACTGTAAATTACTTGAAAATGGTTATCCATTCATTTTTTTAAATTATTTTGTAACATATTTGTATATGTGCTTGTGTTTACGTGCACATGTATATATGGCTCCAAAAATCCCCAGGAGTAGTCTAGGCTGCCTCTGCTAACTGAGTGCTGTGATTAAAAGAGTGTGTCATCACATTTGTCTTTTTAATGTGATTCCTGGGAATCAAACTCACTCCTCATTATTGCATGGCAAGAACTTTACTGACTGTGCTATCTCTCAATCTCCTATTATTCCCCACTTCAGATTTTAAAAAATGTAACTCTAGGCACTTTTCAAAAAAATATTAAAGTATTAAAGGGCACAAATCCCAAGGGAGATATGAATGTGGAGGTCAGAGAACAACTTGCTGGTTCTCTCCTCCTACCATGTTGTCTTAGGATTAGAACTGAGATAGTCATACTTGGTGGCTTTTAATTGTGTGTGTGTGTGTGTGTGTGTATGTGTG